TATTTTCATATGTTTATAGATCTCCTTGATTTTAACTATTTTTTTTAATTTAAAATTTTCTAATTAGATATGAAAATAAATTTTAAGATAATCCTAAGAATTTTTTACAGCAAAATTACATGTTATGATAAAATTTGGTGGTACGTCTTAATTGGATTATTTAAAACTGCAACCTTATAGAAACCGTACCTTTTATATATATATATACTTCGGGAGCTTTTTAGGACGCTTCGATCGAGGGGGGTCTCCTTGCAAAGTAGTATGGCAATGTGTAAAAGGTTATCCAAGTCGAACTAAATGATGCCTGGTAACATAGAAGACCTCCTTGACTATTGTCTCTCTCCACCGTTTTCGAAAGAAGGGATACACCTGTGGTTAGTACTTATTGGGGCAATGTTGTGGAACTAATGGAAGGAAAGAAATGGCATAGCCTTTGCGCAATGGCCATTATAACCTCGGTGATCCACTGTGCACAGTCTAGCCCGGAATTCAGCAAAATTCCCAAAGAATTTTTCTCTACCAATATCTCAGAGCTCTTAGTGATGAAAAGGATAGACCTGTAAGATCATCCAACTGGGAACCTCCCATGGAGGGGTGGCTCAAGTTAAAATTTTGATGGCAGTTTCAACTTGATGAAGTGTGAGGTTTGTATAAGTTGTTCATATTAAACAAATCAAAGTAAGGTGAATTAGTGAGAGGCGTTTGTACAAGGTGCTAATATTAAACAATCAAAGTACAGTGCACTTAAAGGTTGTCGACAGATGTAATTTTTAGTGCTGAGAACCCCAATGATGGTGTGAAAATATATCTTTACCTATAATTTAAAGCATAAAAAACAAAGACAAATCCAATAAATTTATAAACACGTAATTTTTTTGAAACTTGTTACAAAATGTATTTTTTATTATTGTTTGAAATCCTTTTTTTTTTAATTCTCATATCTCTACATCGTGAAGTCAAGATCATTAACTTGAGGATTTCCAATATCTGAACACCCTTTTTTTTTCTTTTTTTTTTAACGGAAGTTTGAAATTTACTAAAAAAAGAACAACTTACAGAATAGCGAAAATATCAATATAGGTTACCAAAGAGTCAAGCACTACTCCCCTTTTAGCCAAGAAATCTGCCAAATCATTTGTTTCCCTATAAACATGAGCCAAGTACAAAGTCAAAGAAGACATCAGATCGAAGATCTGATTCCCAATCATCTTGAGTTGCCACGGGAAGCGTTGTTTTTCCTTACACTACTTAATCACATTCATCGATTCCCCTTCAACGATGATACTCACCGCGGGGTTTCTTGCCACTAAAGATTTCAGACCATGAAGAATAGCAAGAAACTCGGCTCTATTTACCGTTGCAATTCTGCATAGACCAGCATATGCGAGAATAACATTTCCTCACCAATCCTGGATAGTTCCACCAAAACCAGCTGGGCCTGGGTTGCCTAGCGAGCTACCATCAAAATTCAGTTTAAACACTCCTTGATCTAGTGGTTAAGGGTCTAATCTTAGGCACATCAAGTTAAAAGAGGTTGGAAACATTAATCATGACATCAACCTTATAGATACTCTTTCCCACGTTAGAAACATGTAGCCACGACCAAAGAGAAAGTTTGATATTATTAAGAATCCTATCAAAGCTACAAACTTTCCCTTCAAAGGTTCTTTGATTTCTTTCCAACCACACTTCCCACAAAATGACACCTCGTAAGGTCCTCCAAATAGAGACCCCAACTTTCGGTAAAGGAACCTCAATTTGAGTAATCAGGTGCAGCACGTGTTGTGGAAGGATAAGGTTGATCCCCAACATTTGAAAACATCACCACCATATTTTGGAAAACACCACCACCATATTTTGGAGATAAATGAGCATTGGATAAACCAGTGTTTGAAAAGTCACCGAGTCGCCCGATTCGATACGGGCATGCAGATTCCACCAAAACACAAAGAACCTTTTGAAAAGTCGTCGAGTCACCAAAACACATAATCGTTAAAGAACCTTTTGAAAAGTCGTCGAGTCACCAAAACACATAATCGTTTGAAAAGTCGCCGAGTCACCCGATTCAATACGGGCGTGCCGATTTAGCCAAAACACAAATAATCGCTCGTGTCTAGAGAGAATTGGGTGGTGTAATTTATTTAAAATTTAAAGGTATATTTATTGCCATGCGCCAAGCACACATGGGTCTCAATGCTGAAATTGAGTCTGCTACACAACCAACGTGTTTTGTAATGCCCTGCCAGAAGCATTTATAAGATACACACTTAGATTAAAGCTTCGATATGGGATAATTCCCACATACACGTAAATGATTATAATATTTATACGGATATTTAAAGCACACTGCTATTACTTGGAGCTAGTGGCTATGACTATTAAAATCTTATTATACGTCCCAACTTAGAACTTCGAGCCCCTTGGGCGCCATTCCTTTTTTTGTTTCATCTACAAGAAACAAAATAGAGGTTTTGCTTCCTCTACAAGAAACAAAATAGAGGAACAAAATAAAGTAAAAATAAAAAATAAAAGGTTTTTCAAAAAAAAATATAATACAATATTTTTTTTATTTTCTTCTCAAAAAGCAAAATGCAATATAACAAGAATTAAAAGGTAATATAACAAGTATTTTTTATCAAAAAATAAAATAAAAAGTATAGAAAAATAAAAGGTACCTTGATAGCATCATTTTCTTATTTTTGTTGTCAAAAGAAAATGAAAGGTAATACAACAAGCAAAAAAATGTAGCATAATATATTCTTATCTTTTAGGATTTGTTATTATTTGTATAACAAAATAATTATAAAATATAAACCAACAATTTCAATTTCAGTATATAATATTATAGTTAATTAGGTTGTAATAATTTGGGGGTTTTTTTAGCGGATTAGAGTTTACCGCCAATTCGAGATTTAAGTGGCTATTTTTTCATCGATTTAATTCACTATTTATTATAATCTATGTATGATTATATACTTTTTGTATATAATTTTTCTTTTGTATGTTATAAATTTAATAGTTAACATAAGTTCATATAGGGAAATAACATCTCAATATTCGCAAATTGATGAAAAAAATGAAAGCTAATAATGCAATACCCTCATTTTTTATTGAATTCCTAAAAAACAACATTTATAATGAAAATTTAATAAAAAAATTTTGGATTTTTTTTAAAGCTTAATCCGACCGATTCGGCCGATTCCCAATCTGGATCGCCGATTCACTGATCCGGATGGGTTTTTAGAGTGCCCAATCCGGGGCACCGATCCGTTTTTTAAACCACTGGGATAAACAGATGCGCCTTTGCCTCGCCATCTTCTTTACACATCAAACACATATTTGTGATGATCTTCCCTCTCTTAATTAAATTGTCCACAATTAGGACTTTATCTTGGGTCACTAACCATATGAACACTTGCACCATATGAGAAATGGGCCATTTCCAAATCTTTGACAAGCTTGGAAGTGTCCAACGCACTCTACCAAAGAAGAGTAAAAGATAGACAGATTTGACGGAAAAGAGACCGTCATTTTCAATTTCCCACAACACTTCATCCTTGCCATGCTTCCTTAAAAACGATTGCTCGAGCTTTTGAAACATATCGATAAGCGGTTGGTAAAGATAATTATGATTTCTATCATAAGGGAAAGTAATATTCTAGCTATGTTTGTCATCTCTAAACTCTACCAAATCTGCAACTGTGGCCTGGGGGCAGCTAACTTTTTTAAACAAAGTAAACTCCACCAAATATGCAACTGTGGCATGGGGGCAGCTAACTTTTTTAAACAAAAGGAGAAAGGCATATTTCAAGGGTTTGCTACCCAACCATTTATGGTGCCAAAAAGAGACCATAGTTCTCAAACCCACAAGCATCACATATTGCGATCAACAATATGCTCGAGTGCATAGATATCTCTCCATAAAAAGGAGGTGCTATCCCTCCCCTCTCATCTTTTAATCCACATCCCAAACCCATCCGGGTCAGACTTTGAGAGGAGCATTTTATACCAGAGCTGATTTTTATTTAAGAGACTTCACCACCACCATTTACATAACCAGGCAGCATTCATAAGCAATAATCCCTAACTCTCCTTCACACTTGGGAGTGCAAACTTTCTCCCATCGAATACGGTGAAATTTTCTATCTTCTCCAAAGGAGCCCCCACAAGAAGTAGTGCATCATAAACTCGATACACTTTAAAACTGCTATTAGCATACGGTGAAGAGACATCTGATAAATAGGCAGGTTTGCTAGACAAGAGTTCAGTAAGGTAACTCAACGCCCCAAAGAGAGGTATTTAGGCTTTCATAAGTCTAGCTTAAATTGAACTATTTGAATAACATTGTCCCAAACTGAGATTGGGCGAGTTTCCATCTGAAATCGGCAGCCCAAGCATTTAAAGGGAAACTTATCCACCCTACACCCAAATCTCAAAGCTAAATCATTAACCAGCTTCTCATTACACTTTACACCAATCATTGCTGTTTTTCCAAAATTTACTTTCAAACTCAAAACCAACTCACAACAAATCAAAAACCTTTCAATCTCGTCAATTTATTCTTTATCCGCGCACATCACAAAAAAAACAAAATATCATCCGCATATTAGAGGTGATAAATTCAAGTAGCATTATGAGAGACCTGAAAACCAGAAAAATACCCTCTATCCACAATGTTAGAGATCATCGTAACACTCTTTTGGCATGGACTTTTTTAAGTGTGGTTACTGACAAGGTTGATACCGTATATAAATGTTATCCATTAGGGAATATACAGAGGAAGTGGCCAAAGAACCATTGAACGAGCGACATCCTATTGAAAGTGGTTTGGGAAAGTGAAATGAAGACCTAAAACGCACCAAAAAGAGCAAACAAGAACACGAGGCAAAGGATGTAGGGGAAGACATGGTAGCGGTCCACACACGTACACAGGTGACAGATGCTCAATAAGAGAGATGCATGGAAAGAGAGGCATGTCAATTTAACAGATAAAATTTCAGTTTGTTTCCAATCAAATTTCATTCCAATTCAGCCAGAAACATTACAAATTGGAACCAGTTTTCTTTCATCGCCAACCAAAACTCCTTTTCGAATTTCGGCCTGAAACACCAATTACGTGCACAGAAACACCTCCAAGAGTTCCACACCTTGCAAAGGTGGGTGTAGAGTTCTTTACAGAGAAAAAAAGAAGCATTTCCGAGCTTGCTCTTGGGTAATGAATGAATAAACTTAATTTAACAAGAAAAAATAAGGCGCACACAATAAGATGTGTGATAACAAATAACCCCCGTATAATTCACAGATCAACAAGATGAACACAACAAAACCGAGTTGCCTCTTCTCTAATAAAGAAACAGACAGCTGCTCCCCACCTTTCTTTTCTTTCTTCACCAGAAACAACTTGTTGCACCTTTATCGTCACCAATTTCATTTCTTTGCTAAATGTTTCTATTGAAGGAAATAAGCATCTTCTCTTCCTCGTATGCATTGCCTCATTTGATTAACTCCTCGACTGAAACAAGGCAACCAAAACCCATAAAAAAAAGTCAACCACTGGAAGCACATGTATTCACAAGCAGCAGTAATTTCCAATGGCCCAATAACACACAGTACCTAAGAAACCTCGCCAATTTCAAAATTGGGATATCACCCAGCTTGGCTTTGTCGGGTAGAAAGACAGAGGGAGCACAACCATCACAACTGTACTTATAATCCATAATTCTCATAGGACCGAAGAACCATTGTAACCAGATTTCACCATTGATTAAGGAATTCAAAAGGTCTATGAAGCACCAATTTCATAATAGTGTCAATTGCAATGACATTCTTCTCAGTGACAATGAAGCCTTGTGGGTAGAAAGAGATCTCAGCCCATTAGCTGAGCCATTAGTGATGCGAGAGAAAGAGAGAGCAAAACCCATCATAGCTGAACTGGTAATCCATAGTTTTGGAAAGACCTGATAAGCCCGTCGTACCCAGCAGTAACAATAACCAAACCCCAAGTAGAGGCAGAGATAGCAGAGCGGCAACATGAATCAGTAAAAGGGGGGAGATTTTCTTCAGGCCATGTTGCTGACGCCTTGGAAATGCTATCCAAGAAGAACCCACTACTCAGAGAGAACCCATTACTTAGAGAGAAGCGACAGGACTCTCTAGGGCAAGAAGAGGGTTGAAGGTGTTCAGGGTGATAAGGACTGGTCTTTGAGGAAGGAGGCTGGTCAGGCATGAGACCAGACCATGCAATGGCCACTGATGCACCAGGAGAGAGGAAGTGCTCACAAGACCATGATTTGGTGGGCTTATGAGTTAGGGTATCGGTGAGTTCATAGTTCCATATGTAGATTCGAGAGTCATCGATTGCTGAGACAATGTGGCGTCCATTAGGAGAGAACAAAGCAGATGTCCGATTTGTCGAGTTGCGAGGGCCTGCATGTTGGAAAGATCTCAATAAGAAAACCAACCAAAGAGCACCATTTCCCAAAATTCCTCTCTTCCAAAGATATGTTGCAAAGTAGATCAAAGTCTGAGGACTATAATATTTGTACCAACACCATGAGAAAAATCATGACCAAAGAACTATAAAAGAATAAAAGTGGGGGAAGATAACATGCCTCTAAATTTGCAGACCACATCAACTCCATCAAGAATCCGCACTCTAGAATCAGCAGATGTTACCATAACTCTCTGAGGATCTTTTGGAGAAAACTGCAAATCAAATAACCATAAGCCTAAATGAGTCAAACAAAGGATAGAAAAAGTGTCATGCAAAAATCTGAACATAGCAACAACACCTGAAGGAAAATTATATCAGGAATGATACCTGAAAGCCAGTTATCTTCTTTACCGCCGACTTCTTTTTGCTCCCCAGACATATTTGATCTTCTAGTTGCAACTGGTTCCCTACACGACATAAATATCGCAATTAAGTCTCTTCACTCGAACGTTCGGAATTGAAATATCATAGAGAGATTCCAATTAGTCAAGCTTGTAAACCGAAAATAATACAAGTCAGATCCAACTATCTAAGGCTTGGTAATAATCAAACACCACCAAGATGTAATCATATGCGCTTCCCTAAGCCTGAATTACTAAGAGACCAAGAGCACTTTCTCTGAGAATTTTAAAGGCTCGAGGGGGGTGAAAATTAAATTCAACTAGCAAGAAACCAAGGATCGCCTTCTTTTGTTTTTTTTTAACACCTTGGATAAACTGCCCTTATAAGGCCCTACCAACAGAAACCCCATAAACATCCAATCAGCAACTGCTTGTGCTAACTAGCTATTCATTTTCCCTAGTGCAACTACAATCTGATGACCAATGGGTAACTATGGTTAGAAGCATTGAGAATAAATCTACACTCTAATACTAGAAGATCAACAAGTGTCTTAGTTCTACTAAAATATTAAGTGACGACAGGCATTTTCAGCTTTAAAAATACAGCCTATTTATCTGATTACAGCACAACATGCCTACTAGACAAATACTTCCCTTGAAATTGGAATTAAAAGTCCTCTTGTGTTGAAGCTGATAGAAGGAAAATTCCTACAAAAGAATTTCCATTTCTGACAAGCCTGAACAGTGGTTTCACTTTCAACATGAGAAATTGTACCTAGTGTCCTGGACTTGGAAAACCTACCCTGACATAGCAAGACTTAATCATGCATTGGATTGTAGCAACTGTAGTTACCACTGCCTACCTTAGACAGGCTGAAGATTGGGAGCGAAAATCGGTTATCATAGCTGCACCAGATACATGCATTCCTATGGAAATTTTTGGAAGAGAACAACTGGCTGTAAGTTGGCCTAACAGAAGGGACAACCAGCAAGAGGAATTCACAGCGATGAAAGAGACAGAAATGAAGTCAAGATTGTACTAATGCATTGAGACTTCAAATTGCAATGGCAATACTGCTTATGCACGTCATGTGGTTTAACATTCTACCTAAAAATCAATATGCCTCAACTATAGGACTTAAATACTCACTAAATATGCTATTAACCATACTAATTTTAATTATCAAACTCTTCATTCACCTTACATCTACTTGTAATTAACCTTCTATGTTTTAAAAACTAGCTTGAAGAAGATTTGCTTCTTAAACCCTGTCCTAAACTCACTGAAGATGGAAGGGTTCACATATCAAAACAATAGATAAGCGTATTGAAACCATCCCATAAGAAGCTTAGGAACCACTCTACGAAAAAAAAATGACCACCGCAGCCCAAGCTAGGGAATAACACAAACCATGATCTGTAAGCCCAAACTCCAAAGAAGGAGCAACAAAATTTGTAATATTTATGTATTAAGATCATTAGAATGCATTTCAATATAGGAAGATACACTATGAAATTCATGTAACAACAACCCTATACTATTAATGCAATCATACCTTAAACTCAAAATTAGCCCAGTAGAAAATCATCAAGTACATATTATAATAATCTGCCGTATTAATATTAAGATGTGGCTAGTAGATTAAGGTTTAGATACTCATTTACATAGACAAGTATACCAGCATCAATCAAACAACCCATAAAACCGACACCAAAATATAACTAGGAAATACATACTCAACTATCAAGAAAACAAAGGAGAGAAGATATGTCATAACTGAATAAATTTACAGGTAAATCATTGGAAAGAACAAATCAAATTTCATAAATCAATACAAGCTAAAAATGCTATAAAAAAACAAAGTTAAATATAATTATAGACACCAACCAAAATTTCATTAGTTTTAGAAATATAAGATAAAGAACCTAATACATGTAGGTCCATACCTGATGTATCATAGAAACGGCAAGTACCAGCAATGGATCCAACTATTCCGCCCTGTATGAAAAAGCAAATGGCTAATGATTAAAACCACAAACAAGCAGATTATAACAATACAAAATTCCTACCATAAACATATAATTTGAAGCTAAAGGGATTTTAGTTCATCAAGAAAAACCTAGAAAAAGCCACACAAATACCTGTCCATCTGGCCGGTAACAAACAGCAGTGATAATCTCTCTAACATCAGCCCAATCAACAACTTGACATTCATGAATTCCCCAAATCCGGACCTTCCCATCAATCGAGCCACTGATGAAGTATTTTTCATCAACAGGATTGAACTGAACGCATGTCACTGATGCATAAAGAGAGGATTACATTCAGAGAGAGAAAGGGTAGGAATGACAATAGCTATACAGGCTTCAAAAGTTTACAACCCATTTCAACAGATATAACATCGTACTTTTTAAAGTATTCAAGTAGACATATGAATCACAACATTTCAGGATGAAATGGTACAAGGCAGTCCAATTTTCAGCAATAGTATTGAGCCTTTTATTTTTACGCGTTCTTAACCTGAAAGGAATACTTACCATAGTTATTATGTTGAAACACTTTAACGCATTCATTGCACCCCAATTGCCATAAACGGACAGTTTTATCCTTAGAAGCCGAGAGCAAGTACTGCAAAAACCAGGAGCATGTAGTTAAATGACATTTCATTCATTAATAAGTAGGTATCTACCCTAAGTTATTTATCAAAAAGGAAAAAGCAAAAGGAACAATAAACTAGATAAAGGAAATTTGAGCACTCTCCTAATAGAATATAATTGTATAGAATGACTGACCTTAGACTGGGACCAAGACAGGTCCAAAACAGCACCACAATGTCCAATAAGCTCACACAATGGTTCTTCTGAGATTTTGAAGATATTTTCAGGGAAAACTATGGAAGCCAAACCCTTTCTCTTTCTATTAGGTCCAAGCTTGCCTTTTCTCTCTTCATCAACACAAACAGGAACCAATTCAGATGAACTCTTCAAAGTGAAGTATTTACATGAACCATCTACCTCTGTGGCATCAAAATCAGCAGCTGAAGTATACATCACACGCCAAATACGTACAACCCCATCCTCGCCTCCACTAGCTAGAAGTTCACCATCCAAACTAAACTTCATTGTCCAAATGAATCCCTTATGAGCTCGAGTTTCTTGGGCCATATACAGACCATTGAACTCTTTGCATCTTTTATTGTGAATCTGAACCTTCATTCTAACTGGCCTCTTTACACCTGATTTCAATTCATTCAAACACATTACAGAATCATCTTGCCTGCACATTCCAGCCCTTTGTCTTTTCATGGACGATCCCAATCTCTTCAACCAATTCCCCTTTCTTTGACTCTTAATTTCACTTGAAATCGAGTCTTCTCCATCAATAGAAGAAAACTCTCTACTAAAGAGGCGACGCACAAAATCAGAAATACGCAGAGCTCTATTGAAAGTGATCAATTTGTCAGGCCCATCTTCTCTTAGCCTATTCAACTGGCTACCTTCCCTTGTTTGGGTGAAATTGATCTCCTTTTCTCTCTCCAAATCTGAATCATTTCTACAATACTTCATATCAGATTCTACCCTACTTTCTAAACAAGAGGTGGCCATATATTGATGAGTTTCTCCAATGAAATGCGGATCGGTTCTTAACACAGTCCCACTGGTATCCATGAGCCTTCTCGGACAGAGATTGATTGAGTCACTCGTGACTGAGAAATCCGATTCACAGGACAGATTGATTGATTCACCCTTGCAAGAGAAACCCCAATCAGGAGTCTCGGAAGGATCGAGACCAACATTTTTTGAAGGACCCAATTCTCCAATTAACCCCATGGAACGAAGAAATCTCTCCTTTCTTTCTTTGATGCTTTCAGGCTCATTCCTCCAAATCTCATATCCAACATTCTCAAACTCAGTAATTTCATAGCCTCTCCCTGAAAATTTAGAATCAGAAGAGAAAGAAGACCCCGAAAGTTCATCTGTCGAATCGAAGAATTGTTCCTCCTCTTCTTCACTGGAGGACCCCATTATCATTCAAACATAGAACAAGCCCGTGAATGGCATATGTCCATATGGTTGAGACCCAAAGTCCACAATTTTTTACAGTGCTTGCACATATAAACCACAAACCCAATTATAAAAAATCCCAAATAATCGGACCTAATTTAGTCTTTGTTAGAGCACGCCCACTGAAACATAGAAGCAGTTTCAGGACACCATGGTTTTACAGCTAAATCCATTGTTTAGGACCCAACATGAGGATTCATTGCACCAGAAAAGCAACGATCTCTAGAGAGACAAGAGAGAGGAGGGAACTAGAGAGAGAAAGAACTCAAGGGATTCCTAAGAAAACAATAGCTTGAGGCGTAATGAAAGGTGGAAAACCCAATTGACATTACCTCGAAACCCTAAAAAAAGAGATTGTTAAGCCAGAGAGCACCGTGGTATACGCTATCCCCTCTTCTGCAATTTCAAGTCGAACCCTTCTCCATGAAACCACGTTGAAACCGTAAACTCAAACCCTGAATTGACCGCAACAAAAAAAATTGCAGCAAAATCTAGACCCTAGAGAGAGAAAGAACGCAGGGCATTCAAAGAGCGAAAAGAAAGAGAGCAATCTTTGAGAGGGAGAGAAGCAGAATAGCGATTGAGAGAGATGGGTGCCGATTTTGAGAGAGAGAAAAAAAGAAAGAGAGAGAAAGAGGGAACGTTGTAGGCAGAAAGGAGGTGCCGGAAGGAATTATAACGGGATCTTCGAGGCAAAACACGCACAAACGCAACGGACGGGCCGAAGACACGTGTGGCACGCTTATCAAAACCCAGCTAAGATTTTTCTCTCTCTATACCCGTAGTTAAATCCTAATCCTGATTAAAGCCGGACTCCTTAGTTACATCCATAACAGATTATTTAAAGCACAATAGAAAGTTTCTATTTATTTTTTTGAAACATTTAAATAGAAAGTTTCTTGAAGTTTTAGAATCTCTCTCTAAAATACATACACTTTAGGAAAAATTTTATATAGAGCCAAGGCTATGAACAATCAAATTAGAGCCTACCTCAAAATTTTCATTAGAAGAGGTTGTTTTGATGCCCAAGTATCCTCAAATTGATCATCTCGACATCAAGATGCATGGACATGAGAAAAAAAAAAATTGGATTTCAAAGCTCTGGGTTTCGGATTACTAACTCTGATATCCAAATCTCTCATCTTCAATATGCAGACTACACCTTTATTTTTTGTGAGGTAGAAACACTACAAGTTTCTAACATTGGCAAATTTTTGGATATCTGTGAAGCAACCTTAGGTCTGAGAGTTAATTTTCATAAATCTTCCATGGTTGGGATTTGTTGTGAGGATGGGGTGATAGAGGAGATGGCTGATGTTGTGGTTTGGAAGGTTGGCTCCTTCCCAATGACCTATTTGGGTCTTTCTATCTTTGATTCAAGACTTACGATTGTTGTCTGGGATATAGTGCTTAAAAGAATTCAAAAAAAGTTGGATTTATGGAAGTGCAAGTATCTCTCTTTGGGTAGTAGGGTTACTCTTTTGAAATCGTGTTTGTCAAATCTCCCTATTTACCATGTCTTTGATAAATATACCTACCTCGGTTATAAGAAAATTGGAATAAATGATGTGAGACTTTGTCTCGGGGCTTCTATTCCAATGGGAGGAAGTTCCATTTGCTTAGATGGGATAGGGTATGGATACTTCAAAAAGATGGTGGGTTGGGATTAAGGAGAATTAGGGTGTTTAACCAAGCACTGTTATGTAAATGGTGGTGGAGAAACCTTAAACTCAAGAACCATTTGTGGTATAAAGTTCTTATGGCTAAATATGGAGTTGATAGATTACAGGTGTGGTTGGGTAATGGGCACAGAACAGAGGTTTCACAGGTGTGGAAGTCCACCTTTAGATGTAGGCCTACTGTTTCAGGTTATTCTAGATGGAGTGTTTATTGTGGTACGCAAGTATCTTAGTGGCATCATAAATGGATAGGGGATTATTCGTTGAAAGTGGTCTTTCCTGATCTTTTTGGATTGGTAACTCAGCCGACAATGACCATTCATGAAGCTGTAGAAAGAAGAGGTCTGCAAAGTTCTTGAAATATTTCTCTATCTTATGGCAGACTAAGGAACCACCTATTATCTCAATGGTGCTCTCTTATAGAAATGTTGGATAGCATCTATGTTGATGTTGATGTTGAGGATGAGATTATATGGGGGATTGAAAGTGAAGGTGTTTTTTTGGTGAAATCTTGTTATAATCTATTATTCCAAGTTAGGATTAGATGGTCTAACTCTAATGATGTTGCTGTTTGGAAATGTCCTATACCACATAAAGTACAGTGTTTCATTTGGCTTGCTTCTCTTAATAGGATTTTAACGGTTGATAACTTGATTACGAGAAAATTTTTTTGCCTAATGTTTGTCTTTTGTGTAAAGAACATGGGGAAACAGTGGCACATCTCGTGATCCATTGTTCTTTTACACCCCATGTGTGGTCCTGGCTTTTCTCCACATTTGAGATACTTTTTGTCATGCCCCATTCAGTGGAAGGCATTATCTCTCAGATGTCTTTAAGCCATTTGGCGGTAGGTGGAAAGGTCCTATAGAAGATTTCTAAAGGGGTTATCCTTTGGGAAATATGGAAGGAGAGGAATAGAAGAACCTTTGATGGGAGTTCATTATCCTTTGAAAAGCTCATAGCCTAAATTAAGCCATCCATTGGGATATGACTATTAGTGACTAAAGAGGGTTGAGGTATTCCAATTGTGGATGTTTTGTCTAATCTACACAACCTGTTTTCCCTTGGTATTTCTCGTCCCAGACCGAAGAGCTTTTGGTTGGCACCTGACTTTGGGAGTGTTAAGCTAAATTTCGATAGAAGTTCTTTTGGAAATCCAGGTAGGGCTGGCATTGGTGGTATTATACATGACTCCACGAGCTATGTTATTCTCTCTTTTGCTAGCCTGATAAGAAAAAAAACATCAAATTTTGCTGAATTGAGTGCTTTGTTGTGTGGGTTGAAAATTTTGTTTGAGATGAACATTACGGGTAATGTCTGGATTGAAGGGGACTCCTTGAATATGATAAAATGGTGCAAATTGGAACAGAAAGTTCTGTTGGAATTGCGATCTTTGTGGTTGCAAATAATGGATCTAGCTGGACCTTCTATTTCGTTCAATCATGTCTATCGGAAAGCAAACTTCATTGTCGATTCTTTGGCTAAAGGAGGTGCATCATTACCTTCGCTATTGATTTGTTCTAATGTAATTTCTTTCACTTAGTCATCAGTAATACTTTTGAACATTTGTCAAAAACAAAAAAAAAAATGAAAATAGTGTATTTTATAACACATTTTTTGACCGTCAATTTTCAAGTTTTCATAGATCTGTCGATCTACACTGTTTTTTAAGCATTAAGCTTTATAAATAAGTATTAAATATATTTTAAGGCTATCATAAAAAATTTCAATATTGAAACCGCATTTCTCGACAATATTTGAATGTAGCCTCTAATTTGATTGTTTAGAGCCTAGGTTTGTAACACCCCACTCTAAAATACATGACACTTTTAAAACCGTATGTAAAAGCCAGACCCTAGCCAAGGGGGCTCTTTACTTAAATAAAGCCATACAGATTTCGTAAATAGATCCTAAATCACCCTCTAATTATCCCAGAAAATCTAAAAGCCGAACCCGAAAAAACTAGGGCTCAGTTTCAATAGTACTGGTGAGAGAGGGAGATTTCTTCATTGTTTGAGATTATAGTTTACAAGTACCCCCTAGGTAAAAAGACTCATTCCAAAGGAAATTTTCAATCCAAAACTTTAGGAACCACTTGAAAATTACGAAATAATTATTAAAATAAATAATATCTTAATTTTTAATACTTCGATATCACTATCTGTAAATTGAATGGTCTCTATTCAATCTCAAGACATTATTTTTTTTCAAGTGCATAAATAGTACAATTAGGAAAGTATAGTATCGAAAAATTAATTATGAGTACACCATTTACTCAAGGGAGTAAATGGTTTGATATTTCTTTTCTAATGAATAGAAAGGGGTTTCGATAAACCTACGTTTAATATTTAACAAACATATCAAAAATCATTATCATTCGACACATAATCAAAATATTAAGTTTTAAGAATCATTATTATTTCGACAAAGAGTCAAAATATTAATTTCCAAAAATCATTATTATTTCGACTAAGAATCGGAACATTAATTTCGTCTAAGATTAGGGCCATATGGTCATATTTGAAGATGAAGATCCCTTGGATGTCTCCCTGGGCTGCCAAGAACTAAGGACATTTATGGTAATCTTGCACAAGAGTAAATTTGTTACAACTTTTCAGGGGCTTGTTTGCTTTCAGTTGGTTGTCTTAACAAGGAAGCTTCTATTAACAAAGAAAGGCAAAATAGTCATTTACAAACTGGGCTTGGCTGGGGGTATCTAAATCTTTGGGGTTAGGGCCTTTTTTTCTTTCTTGCCAACACACACCTGACTCTTTAAGTCCATATTTTGTAACCCATGGGTCCGGTTTAGGTCCAAATGAATTGGACCTGACCTTGGTCTGGGTCCAACATGCATGAGGTCGGGACTAGATTGACATTGACCTGACCCAACTCAACCTTGTATAAAAAATATGAAAAAATATGAAATATATGTTGTACAATAGGGCGCAGTTTGTATAGAGCCTAGGCTCAAGAAGATCAAATTAGAACCTACCTTCAAATAGTATCGAGAAATGTAATTTCAATACTGGAAATCCTTTTGATAGCTTTAAAAAATATTTTCATCTTTAATAGTGTAGATCGAGAGATATATGAAAACTTAAAAATCTTGGAAATTGATACATTACAAAATATATTGTTTTTAGAACTTGAAATCTATTTTTTTTCTTATGTCCATGTATCTTGATGTCAAAATGATCAATTTGAGGATTTTTAGATATTAAAACAACCTCTTCTAGTGAAATTTTTTACGTAGGTTCGAATTTGATTGTTTAGAACCTCGGCTCTATATAAACTTTTTTCATTACAATATATAAAATAAAATTTTAACTTTTAAATTTCTAGACCCATATTATGTCAGGTTCGAATCCAAATGACTTTTGACTCAACCGGATTAAGGTCGGGTTTCAGTCGAAGTCACTTGGACACAAATCAAATCATAGTGATCTAAGTCCAGATCTATCTAAAGTTAGTGGGGGTGGGGTCCAGGTCGTCCAACTCAACCAACCCAACCCAACCCGACTTGTTGGTACCCCTAGTGAAACACACAACACAAGCATATCGAGAAGTAAGAAGGCATTTCTTTGTGAAAAAATTTATATAGAGCAGAGGTTATGAACAATCAAATTAGAGCCCATCTCATAAATTTGACTAGAAGATATCATTGCAATACTCAAATATTCTCAAATTGAACATGTCGACATCATGATGCATGGACATGAGAGAAGAAAAAATAGATTTCAAGTTATGAAAACAGTGCATCTTGTAACGTATGTTTGAATTATCAATTTTCAAGATTTTCATAGATCTGCTTGATTTACACTATTTTTTAAGCTTTAAATTTTATAAATAAAAATAAAAATATATTTTAAGGCTATAAAAAAAATAGTATCGAAACCACATTTTTCGACAGCATTTGAAGGTGCGTTGTACCTTGCTTGTTT